TACACACACACACACACACACACACACACACACACACACACACACACACACACTCATACACACATATATACAGGGTACAGACAGGTCATATTATTTGGATTACATTCAGTCATGTCTAGAGTGCTAATGGAATATAAATACATTTTGTACGTACTTAAGTGTATATAAACTAGATCAACATTTCAGACAGCATAGTATACGTATGAATCTGCTGCATAACTAAATCACCAGCTTAAAATTAGTATAGAAATCCAGTACAGACCTTCTCTAGTCTGCTACAGAGCAACATTGTAGCAATGTTTGTCGGCAAATGTAAGATTTTTCTCACAAATTGCTGAAATTGTGGGTGTACTGGGTAATGTTTTGCTTATTTAACAGTCAACCCTGATTTTGACTGTAGTGGTATCTGCCAAAGGTTTTATTTGTTGCATATCTAAGAAGATCATGCTGATAAATTGCTGCACTTAAATTTCCTTACTCCTATACAGAGAGGGGGGAGTAAATGAAGGCTACTGTTACACATTTACAATCACATCAATGTTTGTAAAATCTTCACCACCACGGGTCATGGAAAAGCATCAGATTCAGACATACTTTTGTAACTGTTCTTCAATTTGCTTATTCTAATGTGCTGATTGATGTAAACATAATTCAGGAACAAGACTAGGTTTTTTGATCACTATATATCATCTCCTTGCATGACAGAATTATTACATGTGCATGATATTATTATTACTCTGTTTTTGTAGTTTTATTTGTAGAAACTGAAACTCATTATTAGCCCCACTGTCTGAAATCTTTGATTTTCATATTCAAAACATTGTCTGCATGTAAGTCATTGAAGTAGGCAAGTGAAAAAATACAATGAAACAGGCCTAGCCTATATATCTTAGTTTTCTTACAATAGTACTTGTACCATAGGAGCAACAGAGTCAACATACTAGACTAGTTTGTATAATACCAGCCAGGGTCACTGTAAGCCAGGAAGTTTTTTTATGGTTTTGTTTTGCACAAGAATTGACAGTACTGGTATCTTAAGTAATTATGTTTGTTCAGGTTGATTTTGATGCCAGGTTTATGTTTAAGTACAAGAAGCTTAAAGCTGGTGCATGATTCGACATTCCTTCCCTCTTCCCGTCACAGGTGACAGACGTCAACATACAGCTGAACTGTGGATACCAGAAAGCAGACCACACTGGGCCACCTCAAAGTCCTGGCTAGCTACATGTAGGAACTGAGCTTTGAGAAAACAATGGCAATGAAAATTTGTGGACACAAATGCAATTTATAGTACTGTCACAGGTGTGAATTATTGTCTTATGACTACTGTATGTGATCACATATTATTTCCCAAGAACTACTGATACTTGTAACCTTAAGCCAGCATTTTCATTGTCTAGTTTTTGTATGAATATGAGCAGATTAAGAAGTTCTTCAGTAATTCATACGTACATGTGTTGAGCGTGCCTTCTCATAGTTATTGTTATTATATTCAATTATAGAAACATGTTTCGTTCCACCGAGATAGATAACATAACTACAAAAATTATATAACATTCTGAATTAAGATGAACTAATGTTTATTCCATCCATAATTGATAACGGTAGCTATTTGTGCAAACTTCTCTGATTGAAAAGTGCCTCAGGTTCATGAGTTTTCTCGGAGAACACTACATTCCCTACTGCATGCATGTTTTGTGGACTCAATGTGTGGATTGTGCCACAGAAATTTGCCCTTCTGTACGTCAGTGACCCCTACGCTGTGAAAAAAATCTGGTGAGAACCCTGTATTCTACTTGGTCTCCATTAAACATATGGAAAACCATATGAAACAAAAGGTTTGAGGAGAATGGTGAACATTGTAACAATGCTTTGAACATGCATGTACTTGTACCAATGAGGGAAATTTTACTGCATTACATGTGTGCATGAAGGATTTCAAAGCTTGAATTGAAAAATCACTTTGCAGTTTATTCCCCTAATGTGAAAAAAATTGATTGAAAATCACTTGTAGCCCAGGTGCTGAGTGGTCATTGTGTGAATTATGTTGGTATCAGATTAACCATTCAGTGAAGAAGTTCCTAATCTTGTTTGTGATTGTTTAGGAATGGCCACATTGCAGGAATAAAAAGTTGAGCTACTGTAGAATCAGTCAAGTCAGGTTTAAGTCAAAGTAGTTTGTAGTATTTGTTCAGTCTTATGACTCCAGTACATGATGATGACCCTGTGGATTATTGATATGTGTAGCATTACGAGAAAGGTAGCTGAAAACACTGGTTTCACTGTCATGTGTGTCATAAAATCACACAAATCTTGCTTTTCAGATGTTGTGTTGAGTGTGTATTTTCCTAGTTATAATGATATAAAATGAGAAACGTTGTATATGAACACAAAAGATCATTTCATGAATTACAGATGAACTAGAGTTTATTCACAATAGATAATAGTAGTTATTTGTACAAGTTTCCCTGAGGCAAAAGAGGGTCTGTTACACTGACTGAACAAGGTACTGACTTTAAGTAGAAGCTGAAACCTTTCCATAAAGTCTCTTATCATTGGTTCACGCCTATCAGCGGATAGGTCGGAGGTTAATGCCCCCCACCCACTTCGGGGTGACCGGCCGCCAGGAGCGCGATTAGTCAGGCCTAAGGTTTGTGCACAGTACTGCACACGCATGTGCCAAAGTAGTGGGTGCAATTCTGATACATTCCGCCAGGGGGCGCAGCTGCTTGGAAGTCTTGCATATTCGTGAGGCTGTGGATGGGGGGAGTTCAGTAGCCTGACGTCCTAGACAGGCAAGGTAGACTGGTAAGGTAGCCTGGCAAGGTAGACAGCCCAGGGTTTTCCGTAAACCCCTAGAAATACCCCCAAAACCCAAACCTCTGCTTGGAGAGTAGCTGCCCAACCCCATTCTGGAATGGAATCACCCGGGCGCGCGTACATTTGAATGCCGCCCCCCACCCCCAACACACATACAGACACACACCTACGTATACGTATATACCATTACCAAGTCAAATGTATTACATAGGCAGTTGATATTTGACTACTGAAATCTTTTTTTGGCTGCTAGCCACATATCCAAACTATTATTCACTGGCTATTTGCGAAGAAGAGAAAACAGCTCAGTCGTGCCTCAACGCAACGCGGATTTAGCACTTAAACAAAAAGGACTGAGAGTCCAGTGAGCTAGTGACTAACCTGCAGAATATGTAGCCTATAAATGGTCCAGGAATTGGTCCAGGTCAGAGTAGAGATGAAGAGAAAATATAAATCGCCAGGCCGTCCCGTCTGTCGTCCATTTCAGCCAAGCCGGCAACCGCAAGTCTAGTCTCGCATTATCTCGCGACGGATTTTACAACTCTCGCGAGGACTACACCCGACCGTTTATTTTCTATAGTAAAGCAGTGAGGTTACTAATAACGGTCACATCCTAGGAGGTGAAGAGAGCCTCTTAGCTATAGCGGCGGGTTGTGACCGTCGCATAAAGGAGAGCTGTTCCATGATAAACCTCAATAAACCACAGTATTAGCCAGCTGCCAGGACGTTTGTCAAGGCTGCTAATATGTTCATTTAACTTTAAGTCTTCTCATCAAACGCCAGACGTTGAAATGGTAACAAATCGTCAAATGTTCAATGCACGTACCGCAAACAACGCCGACGTCATCACCATGCCGCGGGCTGCAGTCATGAACCCTCCATCCCTTGTGCGAACAGTAAAACAGGCTACTCTCTGTCCCATCACACTGTAGGTCTTCTAAGTAGATCGGTCCCGTTCCTACAGTTTAAAAAAGTTAACAGATCAGATGTAGTCATTACAATTACCTGCAAACTTTGTAGATTAGGTAATTTTTTTCAAAGGTATTACCTACGTTCAGCGAGGGTCACAACCCGCCCTATGCGCAACTGCGTGCTGTCTACGTGCAAAAACATTGACAAATTTTGGGGACCTGTAACTGGTAAGTACCACCTCCGTACGGAATCCTACGTATTAGGGTAAATGCAGACACGCCGTAGCACTTCAAGTGCATGCAAAACTTTCTCTGCGTGCGGGCTGCGGATTCACCCCCCTCCGTACGCAGCACGTGTAAGTACGGCCTGCATATGGCAAAGTGGAGATCGTGCGTTGTAAACACGCACAACTCACTTACAACTTGCGCAACGAAAAATATAGGGCTTATTCACCACAGATTGTCACGTGACTCTCCCCCCTGGCGTCATTTTGGGGTCCAGCTATGAAATGCTATGCCAATTCTTGGCGATAGTTGGGTATTCTAGGCCACAATCTACGTTTCGGACACTCTTCTTGTTAGTAACATTGTCATTTGGGTTGTTTTCGCTCCGTGCCCATGCCTCATGTTGTCAAAATTGGCTTTTATCTTTTTTTTTTTTTTGCTGATCAGAAATCGGTGTGTATTACCCTGGCGCGGAGTAGGGGACTGTAGATGGCAACGTGGGTAACATGAACACGGTAAATCTGTTGGAGCTACTTGTCCCTTTACTCTGTAGTAAATGTCTATGTAGAACAGGGCGCTGGCAACTTGTAAAACTCACCTTTTCCAGCTACAGTCGCGGCAGTGCAGACTGAGGATGGCGGCCGATGGCCCCCGCAACCTTTGCTTGTTGTTATCCAGACACAGTCCGGGGCTGTTCCAAAATAGCGACCTTTTGAGTTTCCTGACTACAACGTACTTAATTGTCATCACGCAACTGTTCCCCAACACTTTCTATACATCCTAATACAACGCTTCCAGACTCTTTAAGTGTTTTAACCGATCCTGTGTGTAAAAACTTCTGCCCAGTACCAAATATGAAGCTAAGTCACGTCAATGGACTCCGTTGGCGGTAGACGCCGTCTCGATCAGACTGATCAAAACTCAACAAAAACGGGTCGATCCCAACAGATTTTATTTTGTTCCAGTAATGAGAGGTATGAGTGGTACCGGTGGTAAAATCTTCGTGTAATAGGACAAAGGACAGTTTACCTAACGTTTGTCCGTCATTTAAACGCTTGGAAACTCGCTGTAGAGATGCACCCCAAAATGGCACAGGACATGAGGGGTCATGACGTCTTGATGACGTGTGGTGAATAAGCTCTATAGCAGACGTGGCCTCTAAAAAAACACACACACAAAAAAAAACGTACGGACAAAAAACACGCACGGCGGGTTGTCACTGAGCCTCAATTAAAAGGTAGTAACAAAAGGTAATACCTTTTGTAAACGTCGATGCATATAATTGTGAACTTGTAACATGTGTTAAATTAGCACAGTCGGGCAAAGATGTACAATAAAGATTATCTTAAATGTTAATCTGTGTCGATAGAAGTCATTATGAAACAAGTTTGAACTGCGCCAATCATATACATATTGAATCGCCTGGACATTCAGTCAGTCTCATTGGTTAAAGAAAGAATCTTGGACACAGAATCGGACTTTTTCGCACAAGGGATTAAAGAGGCCATCTACATCAGGGTATTACAACCATCCCTCAACAGAGACGGGGGCGCCACAGACTTTCTACAACCTATGATCCACTGATTACGAAGTCATGTGTGTTATGCCCCAAAATACCTTGCCAACATGCTGGAATCTGTCCAGAAACGTTGTTTGAGAATCATTGGAGTTCCTACTGACTCTCTGCCTTCGCTGTCAAGTAGACGCGACGCTGCTACATTGAGAACATTACGCAACACAATCCGGGACAGTAGCTCGCCTCTGAATGAGTTCATCACCCCACCCCAGGATAACTGTTACAACCTCCGTCGTGAAGGTCGTTACAAGCCAATGACTAACAGTAAAACCAAGAGACATGAACTTTCCTTTATACCCAGATCTCTGAAACTACTGTATCAGGCTGACTGCTAACACGACCATGATTTACTGTATTGTTTAACTGTGTTTAACTGCTCAGTTTGTGAGCGCGTCGTAGCTGTTATGTATAAGCGAGCTGGACATGGTTCTACATCTTTTATCTGTGCATAACATTTTAAATACGTAATTTTATAGTAACTTTAAATGTTTTTCTGGTGATTTTACAATTGTAAATGATGACACACTTCATGTGCATGTGAATTGTCACGTACATGCAAAGTCATTATCAATAAAACTGAATCTGAATCTATCTTATCTGCGTATATTGCTCATTCCCTAACAAAGACTGGAGTTGTAAAGTTAACAATTTTGGTGAGGCCAATTTATTGTGATGGATATTGCAGTTCAAACTTGTTTCTTAAGTACAATAAAGGTCTTCATTCAGTAATACACTGAGAAAATAGTTTCAAATGATGTGCATTATTATCATCATAAATAGTCCTATGTGTAAAGGAAAGTTGTACCTGTGCCAAAAAAGGCATTAGGGTGCACTCGATAGGCATTCGGATAGCCCAGCATCCTGCAGACAACTTCTGCATCCTCCAAGTCGAAACCGTTGTCACAAACTGTGCCCCATCTAAAACTGTCGGCCGGCCGGACTTCCACACGCCCCTGGTTTGGACCGGAACCTCCGACAAGACGGATTCTGCTGGAATCTGAAAATGAAACAATCATCCCTATTAATGATATCATAGTAAATACATAATTTTTACATTAGAACATTGTATCACTGTTTATCACGTTACGATGCTAAATTTCATTCTAACAAAAAAGGTACACAAGAAGCAAATTTTAACCAACACTGTTAGCTTTATGATAATGATTAATGACCAATCACTTGCATACGTTAAACCCGCGAGGGTTACTGTTACAGACACGAGACATTATTCACTTTACAGATACGTGATGTCAGCAAACGTTATACAGACGGAGGACGATATAAATTCCCGTCACGTTTGATGAACTGTTGACGTCACATATCAGTTATGTCTCACTTTCCGTTAGAAAGTGATTGGTCATTAATTATCCTGATGAATGAGGTAGTCGTTCTGGAGTTATCGTGCTAAATCACATCTAAATAACCAAACGTTACCCAAGACATATCTAACCCCCTCCTTCTTTTTGCGGTAATGCCCATCGTCCATCTTTTCGTGGCTAATACGAAGCGTGGATTCGCCAGGCCTCCTTTTGGGTATTTTGTAGTAATCACCAACTTGCATGCCCCTACTCTTTTTCGAAAGGTGTGGTGGAGTGTGTCTCTCCCCAAACACGGAACCTTCATTTCATGTCCTATCCGTGAGACGTACCTAACCGAAGCTAAGTACTTATTTTGAGTGAAGTGACGAAAGCCTTGTAAGTGCCTTTTCCGAGGAGACAACGTAGGGGTATGTAGGTAAAATCGAACCCAAGACCCATGGCTTCCGGCCGATTCTATCATTACGCAACGCGACGCCACCTAGGCGAATGTGAAGCACCATAGCGCTGGGTACATCTGTATACGGATTAGAGTAAAATGAACGTACCTGTACGACAGACCACGCCTGCGTCTTGGCCATGATCACAGTCGTGAATCGTCCACCCTGCGTAAGAGCAGCTGAAGAGGCTGGTCTCGTTACCATCACATCGTACGTCATCCATGTAGATGGGTCCTGTTCCTGTGTTTTTAAAGTGTGCATCAGCAAGTCTAAAAAACATCTTAAAGACAAATAAAAACAAATCAACATAACCAACACAATGAAGACCTTACCTTGGCCAAAATATGCATCATTTCGAACCTGGGTAGCGTTAGGATAACCCAACATTCTGCAAACAACGTCTGCATCGTCCATGTTGAAACGGTTGTGGCAAACTGTGCCCCAGGTCATACTGTCCTCTGGTCGGACTTCCACGCGTCCTTCGTTAGACCCGGAACCACCGATGAGACGAATTCTGCTGGGATCTAAATATATTATCACACACATATGTACATGGTGGAAATTGAGGCGGGAACTTGCAATGTAGTGTGTGTTATAAATGGCGTACAAATAAAGCGTAAGGCCTTTAATCTTCGCAGTCGACTATACCACGGACGTCCTAGTTGATCGCCCTTGACTATACACAATCATTTTGTAGTTTGGAGGGCAATGGACTTGAAAGACCTATACTTTATTGGTTTATTTCATTTTATTTTAAATGCCTACTTACTTATCTCACCCAATATAAACTTTGATATTATAATGAATAATTAATCAATGTACCGCAGACAACGCCGGCATAACCATATACACAGCGGTGACTCCCCCATCCTGCGTACGAGCAGTTAAACAGGCTACTCTCGTTCCCATCACATCGTATGTCAGCCATGTAGGCCAGCCCATGTCCATCTAAAAAAACAATTTTTGGGAGATTTTAAAAGCGTCATAATAGAGGCATACAAAAAGGCTTCATTAGCTTCGAATACGAATGCGTAAAGCAAGGCCGTGTTTAAGTGGGATTACCCAAACCGCGATTCGGGTAACTCACATTCCTCACATCTGGTGCACGTGCCACACACTCCAGTGAAACCGTGTCCGAACACAATTCGCTTGAGCTACATTTATTACTGGCGTGTTATTAATGTCAGAGGTCAACGACCTGCTTGCTGATGCCCTCCTCCCAGCGTATCTCGGCCAAATGCCGACGTGGTCCCGCCAGAGGCGGTGAAGCTCGTCCTAGAACGGACACATTATTTGACCACTACTGCTCTTTAAGTTGCTGCCACGTAGAAGTTGGTATTGCATATAAATAAAGAAATATCACCCCGTACTCCATAACCAGGCGAAGTTACTTTGAAATCACATTGCGTTCAGACGCAAATCTCGATGCGGGGAAACCGATTCGAAACCACCTCTAGAAGTGGCTTGGGATCGAGGCGCTTTCAATGTGATTTGGAGCGTTCACATGGAGCCACTTGAAACCGGGTTCGGAATAAACCACATGTAAACCGCCTTGGGTGATTCCACTTTAACACGGCCCAAGTTGTTACGTGAGACAACAGAAGACGAATCGCACCTGAAGATGACATAAAGTGGTTTGCCCAGATATATCCCAGCATCCTGCAAACAACGTCTGCGTCCCTTAGGTCGAAGTGTTCACCACAGACTCCGCCCCAAGTCCAACTGTCGACTGGTCGAACTTCCACCCGTCTTTCGTTTGGTCCGTGAGGGTAATATCCATATGCATGCTCAACAAGACGGATTCTGCTGGAATCTAAAAGTATTTCCTTTCAATAACATTGATTTTAATGCAAATGTTAACTCTTGCCTAATTGCAAAAGAATAGATCATTACAGTTCTGAAATTTGATATTTCTTTGAAATACCACTCCAACTATGTATGTAGTAATGTTTCAAAGTCAGTGTTCTTAGAGCTCTGAAGTTAAAAGTCAACCACAATATTTTAGAAACTAGTCCTTTATTCGTCCTAGTCTGGAATATGCAGATGTAGTTTGGCATGGCGGTGAAACCGGTTAATCCACTCTTGTTGAGAGATAAAAATAAGAATCCCTTCTCGTGCTCCCCTTAAGCCCCTGTCACACATTGCAGAATATTGTCTCCGACCCAGAACCTACGACACTTCATTCCCCATGGCGAAGCTCGTGCCCCTAGCATGTCTAGATCATGAGATATCAAAACCGGAAGTTCCGCTAGAGTACCATAACAAGCCGCTAGGGGGCCCAAAATGTAATAAATCCCTTAGGGCCCTGTCACACTTCTGCTGATTCAAAATCAAGCGTCGTTGGATTGGGCCATACATAACGCGAGCCGTGACTGAGGGGTCTTTATGGGGGATTTTCGGGTTTTGGACTGTACTAAATCGGGCAATGACTTCTCCGTACTAGGTACTTTTGGGACAATGTGGGCATGTCGATGTGTGATAATCATTAGACAATTATCGAAGAAGCTTTAATGAATTGGGGATGTTGATTTGGGCTCTATATGGGGGATATGGGGATACCTGTAAATGGAACTAGGCCAATTTTACACATTTTTATTGCTCTCTGTTAGCTGAAGATAGCAAGTAAGTTCCTTGGTAAATTATTATGTGCATTAACTTTGTGCTAGATAATGAAAAGGCTCTGCATAGGGGTTATGAGGACTCCACAAATGGAGATGCCATTTACATGCCGCGTGAAAGTAATGGTACTTCGAGCATACTGTTATTTCACTCAGAAAAAAAGATAACAACAAGGAGAAGTCAGGGACATCTTCCCTCCATGGAGGAGGTTGGTGTTGTAAGGTTTTATTTATGTTATCACCTATAATCTGAAAAATCACCTGAAAAACTCATCAACACCGCCCTGGGTTGACAGTGAAGTGCGGCACGTTCGACATAAAAAGTACACGGCCTGGAAGAAAGCGAAGAGAACTGACAAACCTGTTCACTGGGCTAAGTTCAGGAAGCTTCGAAACAAGCTCAAAAATATCCTGTCTTCCAAGTATAGAAACTTCTTGGATGGTCTGTCATCCTCATGACAAGAGTCACCCAAGCGATTCTGGTCCTTTGTCCGTGCAAAGGCGAAGGCCAAATCCTTGCCCTCGGTGGTGAAAAATGATGGCTCCATCGCCCAATCTGCCAAGGAGAAAGCGAATATATTCAACCAGTATTTCTATTCAACTTTCTCCCCGGTGGACCGGAATACCAGTAAACCTGATATTGATATTGTATCAGTTGATGCCTTATCTAACTTACAGTTTTCTGTCGATGTTGTTCAAGATGTGCTGGCCAGTCTTGATATAACTAAAGCGGTCGGACCTGACAATATCTCCCCGCTCATTCTTAGGAAATGTGCCGACATACTTGCACCGTCTCTTACCCAATTGTTCAACAAATCAATCACCTTTGGTAAGGTACCTTCAGAATGGAAGGATGCCAACGTTATTCCTGTTCACAAGAAGGGGAATAAAGAGTTGGCATCTAATTACAGACCGATTTCTTTGTTATCCATAGTGAGTAAAGTCATGGAACGGTGTGTGTATGACGCCATATTTCCCACTTTACGTGATGTTATCCATCCTCTCCAACATGGGTTTGTCAAAGGTCGATCTACCACCACCCAGTTGCTTGAGGTATATCACCAAATTGGCTGTGTACTGGATAAGGGGGGTCAAGTGGATATGCTTTTTCTCGATTTTTCAAAGGCATTTGATTCAGTGCCCCATACCCTCCTGATACATAAGCTGCAGATGTTTGGATTTGGTGGGATTTGTTAAAATGGTTTGAATCATACTTGTCCAACCGACGGCAAAGGGTTGTGGTAGAGGGTAGCAACTCTGAGTGGCGACCAGTAACCTCTGGTGTTCCCCAGGGGTCTATTTTGGGGCCACTCCTGTTCCTATTGTATATTAATGATCTACCCATCACTGCAGCAAACTCCACTGTAGCACTGTTTGCAGATGATTCTAAATGCTACAGAGAGATTTGTAACGCTGTAGATTGTCAAAAATTGCAGAATGACATTTTCTCTATGTACGAGTGGAGCCTTCGGTGGGGGATGTCTTTCCATCCATCGAAGTGCAAGGTTCTCCGTCTGACACGTTCCAAGAGCCCAATAATTTTTACCTATCATATGTCAGACATCGTTCTATCTACAGTCAAAGATATGAATGACTTAGGGGTTTTGGCCCAAACTGATCTGCTTTGGAACAGTCACATTGTGAAAACAGTTGCTAGAGCCAATTCAATGGTTGGATTCATCAGACGCACTGTTGGTTATGAGTCCAGCCTTGTGGTGCGCAAATCCTTGTATGTATCATTGGCTAGATCTTTACTTGAATATTGTTGTCAAATATGGTCACCTCTGTCTCGCAATCTGATGTCCTTGTTGGAGGGCGTGCAGAGGCGGGCAACCAAGTTCATTATAGGTGCAAATGCCAATGCTTGTGAACTTGACTACAAGGCTAGACTAGCTCACCTCAACCTGTTACCTCTTTCATATAGGAGAGAGATCGCTGACATCATGTTGTATGTTAAGTCCACGGCTAATGTGTACGATTTAGACATGCATAATTATGTTTCATTTTCATCACGTCCAACAAGAGGAAGTAGGTCTCATATGCTAATGCCAGTTCGCTGCAAAACATCAACATTCGCTACTTCCTACATCCCTCGCTTGGTGGCTGAGTGGAACAGACTGGAAGTCAGAGTCCGGGACATGGGGGCTGTCGCTTCGGGGCAGTCCGAACTTTTAACATTCAAACGGGGTCTTGTCAAATCGCTGACCAAGAGATTTAATGATCATTTTGTTACTGACAATCTCTGCACGTGGACGTCTGCTTGTCGGTGTGCCACATGTCTGGCAATAAGGCCACGGTAGACATGGGGCACTTCCACGGCCGGATGTACATGTGCAGAGATCTAGCTATTATGAAATTGTGCAATTATACATGTATATATTGTTATTATTGTCTACTTACGATGTTGTGTAATATGTTTAATTAGTTTTAACTATGATTGATTGTAATGTCATTTATGTCTTTGGGGAGGGAGCCTGTAAAGGTGGTCTCCACCTGTTTCTCCCTTCCCTTCCACTTGTGGTAAAGCTTGAATAAATAAATAAATAAAACCAGCCAACCAACCATAGTGAAGAGGTGAGGTCAATGACCTCTCAAGCACCCCATTCAACCGGACTATATTTCCTGCAGACTCTGTCTAGGGGTAAAAATAGATTGGGCTGTCTCAGCCTGACCTGCCAGCTGGAGGTATATAAACAAAAACACTCTAGATCTGTCCCAACTTTTGGGTCAAACAGACCATCCTATTATGAAGTAGGGGTGAAAAAATTAAAATCCTTTTAAATTAAGCAATAAAAATATACGACAACCTGCTAATGCACTCTAAAACGCAAAGAGACTCAACAACTACCCACATACCAAATATTATACCAAACGACCCACCAGATTTTCCAAACATTCAACACAAAAAGACCAACTTTAAACATATTGTAAATATCAAACGCAAACAGCTAGGAAGCCCAAATTTAAACCACTAAACCATGGTAATAACAACTACATGCTACCTTAATATCGCACAAACAGTCCATAACGCACAAACAACAGAATAAAAAAATTAAACTGCAGTACCAAGGTCAATCACCAGGGGCTCAAAGTCAACCTACACAATCTCCAAGGCCCCCATCCATCAATCTGCCAAATATCGTACAGTTCCTTCTCACTGATCTTCAGATATCAGACCAAACATGAAACGGAGTAAAAACAATACCCCCATTTTCATGGAGGGTAATAAAGTAGTACTTAAACTTTTCTTTATCAATCTAGATCAGTAGAGATATGCTGTATAGACATTTACTACATAGTACACTGATGGTGTGTTACTATGCTTGACCATTTTTCATCATACCTAACCAAAAAACATTTTTTAAACCTGTATAATATTAATAATGAATGTTTATTACAAATTCATCCCCGAGGGCTAATTGAAAGAACAGGATAACAAAAATAAACAGTAAAATGATAATAAGTAATGTTAATGCCACTTTAGATATACATTTGTAGTTGTTGTTGGTTTCATTTTCTTGTGCCGTGAGTGGAGTATAAAATGACTGACAATTTGCGAGATATATAGGTGATATTAGAAATGCAGTTTTTTGAAGCCTGGGAAGGTAAATAAAATTAGGGAACATTTTGGTGACCATTTAGAATAACTTATCTCTTTAAGTGCTATAATTAATGAGGGCAATGGCAAATAAAGTGCATTTCATCCTCCACTGCATGATCCTGTGCAATATTATATATTCTGTTGTTAACAGACAAGTGTTGGTATGTACCCTTCTAAGTAATGTACATATGTGTTGCTTATCGACATCAACGTTGTCGTTATGTCGGATATATGAGAAGCCACTCCGGTCAAGTATTTCTTTCACATGGTGTAGCAGATTTTTCTTGTGACCAAGCATTAACATATGTTCTCTCAGTCTTAACTAATACTTGACTAGGCGTACCGATACGTCTGTGTCTAGTGACAATCTACCAAGTTCCGCTTTGCATGCTCCGTTGCTAGCGTTTCAGTGTACACCATGAATGTTTTTACAGAAGCGATTATGGACAGTTGTCATTTGAAAAATCTTTTCCCCAGATTTCGCAACCACATAAAATCCTTAAAAAAATCCTTCATAGAGATTTCAATGAGATTTGTGAGCGGATAAGAGATTTGATGCTAAAACAGATTTGCGGGCTTTTAAAGCA